CTGCCGCGGCCGCGTGAGATCCCCGCGCTCCCGTGGGCCCTGGGATTCCCCCGGGCGGGGCCTGGAAGGGAGAGAGGTTCTGGGAGGTGGGCCTGGGGGAAGGCATTGCTCCCTCTGAGTGGCCTCAGCTGTGTGTCACCCCCTGCCCTGCCCTCCTTTGCTTAGGAGTCAAATCCAAGTTGTCTAAATGGAAGAGGCAGTGCGCGCGCCCCGAAAACGGCCTGCTCAGAGCAGCCAACTCCTGGGACTGCCTAGTGCTCTGGGGCCCTGATTCAAGGTGGAAAGGAGTTCACATGGCACAGAGGTGAAGCGTTCAACTGCGAACCTTAAGGTCGCGGGTGAGAACCTGGGGGAGAAGGTGGCACTCAGCTTCCCGAAAGCTGGAAACCTCTCAGGGAAGTTCTATCCCATCCTACAGGGTCGCTTTTGGTTTAGCGGTCAAGGTGGACACAGCTGTCCTTGCGGTTTGGCGGTCAAGGTGGATACAGCTGTCCTTGCCTCCCCCGATTGCTGGCTCCAGTGGACAGAGCGCTGATAAATAGGAAAAAACACAGGGAACCAAATTAACGGGACCCCCTCTACTCCGGGCCTTCGGGCCAGTCATTTCCTCTCCAGGAGCTTACTGTTCCGTCATTCACACCCTAAACCCACAGATGCCTTATCCCGAGAGGTGCCAGTGTCCAGCGGCTTGAAGGCACAAGGGCCCTAAAGAGAGCATATCATAAGTTGGTGTTAGGTGTATCGAGTCAGTGCCAACCCATAGCAACCCCGTGCAAAACAGAAGGGAACACTGCCTGCTTCTGCTCCATCCTCACAATGGTTCCTGTGCCTGAGCCCATTGTTGCAGCCACCGAAAACCCTAAGCATAGAATGGAAACACGGGTCTGTGAGAGAAGAGGACAAGACCAGGAGACCGAGCATCATTTCCGAGCCCAGTGAGTGTCCCTGGAAAACAAGACAAGGTGTGTGGGGAAGTGTGGGGGGGTGCCTCTGAGGAAGCTGATCCTGGTAGGCCTCATGGTGGAGGTGGCATTTTGAAGCTCAATCTCAGTGACATATTGGGGCAGCTAAGTAAATATCCAGAAGGGCCTTCTTTCTATCAGGTACCCAAGTCAAGAGGCCGGTATGCTTGAGAACACCGAGTACTGGGCAGAGTAGAGGAGGGAGAGGCTGATGGGGGAAGGTGGGTTCAGTAGGAGAATCCTCACCTTCTGTATGTGGGAGACAGCCAACCAGGGCACCTCAAACACAGCCACTAGCCCCGGCCAGTGGAGGCTTGGGTTGGGGTTTGCTACGATTTGAAGCAGGATGGAGCAGAGCTTCCAGACTAAGACAGGCTTGGATGGCCTGTGGACTGGGAAATCAACCAGGGACACGTGTGGATCACCATGCCCTGATCCTGTTGTGTGGGAGGTGTTCTTGAGGAAGGCCAACATCACAACAGCTAACAACAGACCAGCCTTGTAAACCCCTAACAGAGATCAGTGAGGGTCTCACCCCTAGCCCCAGGGATTCCTGCTACCTGTGGCTCCTGCTGCTTCCCAGGCTCTGGCTGAGATGGAGGTCAGGCCTGTGAGCAAGACCACATGAAGAATCTACTCTTGAGTGTTAGCAGGTCTTGGAGCCCTGGAATTGAATCCAGCTCTGGATTTGCCTGGGGCAACTTGCCAAGAAAAGCATAGGACTAACAAGAAAGGGTGGGGTGGGGGGAGTACAAATTTGGGGGAGTGGTGGCAGTGGGAGGACCTGCAGAGGTATGAGAACCAAGTGTTTCATGAAGGGAGTTAAAGTATACTGCACGGTTACAATAATCAAAACAGTGTGGCATTGGCACCAAAATGCACTGCTTGGTACAATAGATCAGTTTGCCCAGAAATGAACTCCCATATGAGAACCTGTTATAAAAGAGTAAGAATACACAACCCAGGGCGGAGGATGTTCATCTGTCATTGGCTGTGCTGTGGGTTTTGAGAGGTTTGTACAGCTCATGGAAATTTATCAGGAAAAGCCATTGGGCAGAGTCGGACCGTCAGTATTGATGCCACAGAGCATTGACGGCACATTCATTCCGTGCTCAGCTGCTAATGGAAAGGTCACCAGTTTGAACCTGCCAGTCACTCTGGTAGAGAAAGATGAGGCAGTGTGCTTCTATACAGATTCTACCCTTGGAAACCCAATGAGACAGTTCTATTCTGGCCTAAAAGGAGCCAGACCAGTCTAAATAGATACCAGGGCAAGGGAACTGATCGGTTCGCTTTGTGTTGTTATGGTAACGCTTTAGTGATGAGCTGGTGTATAATCCACTCCAAGTGAAGATTCAGGGAAAGGAAATTTCCCAGATTAAAATGGGAACTGTGCACCTAAAGCATGCTTGGGTCCACTTGTAACCCTACCTCTCTCAGTGCAACACACACACACACACACACACACACACACACACACACACACTTTCTCTCCGGTCTCAATCCCTACCTCCTAGGGAACCATTCTACCTACCTAAAGTTGACTCCCTCCTCAATCCCCGTCTATCCCATTCTTTGTTCTATTTATTTATAATGTGGAAGGTGGTGTGCTCATCCATTAACTGAGAGGTTGGGGTTCAAACCCACTCGGAGAGGTCTTAGCAGCCTGCTTCTGAAAGATCAACATTGACAACCCCCTGGATCTCAGGTCTGCTCTGCACCTCCATGGGGTCCTGCTGGGTGGGGTCCACGGTTGCAGCTGTTGTTAGCAATCCATTTCCGGGTGTGTGTGTGTGTGTATCGGGGGTCCCTCCATCCTGCTGACCCTTCACCAAGCCCCAGGTCTTTTCCTGGTGATTGCTCTTTCCGGATGACCTGCCCAAAGGAAGTGAGCACCAGCCTCCCTTCTAAGGAGGATTCTGGTTGTCCCTCTCCTAAGGTTGGCTTATTGGTTTTCTGGTCATCCAGACTCTGTCGCGTTCCTCACCAAGCACTGCCAGTGGAATGCATGCATTCTTCGGCGGTCTTCCTGCCTCGTGCATACGAGGTGATTGAAGAGACCCAGGCGTGGGCCCCGCACACCTTTCTCATCCAAGTGGCGTTATTGTTGTTGTCCAGTTGACGCCAATGCGCAGCACCCTAGAGGACAGAGTGCAGCTGCCCCCTGAGGCTTCCTCGACAGTAATGTTTAGGAAAAGAGATGGCCGGTCTTTTCTCGGGTGGAGCAACTGGTGAGGACCAGCCACCAGCCTTGGGAGTAGCCCTCAAGCGCTGTAGTCTCCAGCAAACAGGGATCCCTCCGCGTGGTACTCACCGCCTGACCAAACGGAGCAAAACAAGACGCCCCTAGCGGTGGAGTCCGGTTCCTCTCATCGTGACTCGTGCAGAACTAAGTAGAACGGTCCCATCGACGGCCAAAGCTTTGACCTTTAGAGAACAGCCGACTGCCACGTCTTCCTCCCAGGGAGCAGCTGGTGAGTTTGAATCACCCCCTTTGGGGTTGGCAGCTGAGCGCTTAAACCACTGTGCCCCCACTCCCCACCTCCTTCATCGCGACGATGTGGTTGGGGGGTTGCTGTTGGGTGCCATCAAGTCAATTCTGCCCTAGCAGCCCGGCGCACCACAGAATCCAACACTGCCCGGTCCTGCGCCATCCTCAGGTGTTCCTCTATGTGAACCCGCGGTCTCAGCCACCATGTCCATCCTCTCCTCGAGGGGCTTCCTCTCCTTCTCTGCCCCTCCGCTGTACCAAGCACGATGTCCTTCTCCAGGGACCGGTCTCTCCTGGCAACAGGTCCAACATTGCCTCTAAGGACTACTCTGGCCGTACTTCTTCCAGGACATGACATGAGGGCAGGTGAATTCTTTAACCTTCACGGGAAAGGCTCCTTCTTAGACCTTCTCTGAACCCCACTTCCTGCCTCTGTGAGACTGGCTTCCTGTGACTGCACACACCAAGAGATAAGAGGACTAGAAGCATGCTCTGCAGGAAGATGACAGATGCTTCCGTGACAGCTGTGACTACTGCAATCAAGTGACAGAGTAGACGCTGAGGTTCAGACGTCTATGCTAGAGGCTGCCTGGCCTGTCCTCTTACTCTGCTCCCAAAATCACTGAATGACTCTGACTCTTGTAGTATTTTTAAATTCACTTTTTGTTAACTGGTGCTCAAGAAATACTGAGTGGGTGTTTTTAAAAGTATGAAATATAAA